ACAATGTTGACTTACTCGTCATATCAAGATAAAGATGAAGTGATGATGCATTTAATGTAGCTGGATCTGTCTGAAATGCTAATAATCTTTAAAATAAAAATTGAATTAAGATAAAAATCTAAATCAAAAATGAAAAATGCGAACTTATTTTTGATTGCTTGTGTAAAATTATATGGAATAGCAGCAACGCCCCAATATTTTCCTTGTTTAACAAGATCAATTGCTTTATCAAAATCATTAAATGATGTCTTCATTATTAAAATAAAATAAATTTTAATTCAAAAAAAAAAAAAACAGATAAATATTTTAATATACTAAATGAATTTGTTCAGGATCTATTTTGTTTATAATTTGTAAACTTAAATTTCCTGTTGGAAATCCATTTATTGCTTCACTATTATAAAGTGCCATTGGAATACGTTCAGCATTACCTAAATATCATTTTAATAATAATTTCAATTTAATAAAATATCAAATTAGCTTACGACCAATACAAAGACAAAAAAGTGATACTTGAATAGCAGGAATTAAAAATTGAAACAACAATAAACTAATAACATAGCAACATTAAACAATAAAAGAAATGCTAGGAAAAAAATTTACCCAATATTTCTTTTAATTACTGTAAAATCTTTCATCATTAATGCGTAAATTTTATGCATATGAGGGAATACGAAATAATCAGCTGCAACTCGTTTTGCACGTATCAAAGCTTAATAAATTTATTTAATTTCCTCTTTATTTTATTTTCCAATTGAAACTTACGATTTCTTTCAAATTTTCTTTTCTGCTTTTTCGGCATCAAAAGACTTCGTTCATTTATATTGTTTGATACATCAGGAGAAATAGAAGTTTCTTCTTCATTGACAATTTCATTGGGTATATCAGTATCTTTATCGCCATCGGTTCGATTCACTGGAACGTGTTGTTGAATTCGATTTTGATCTTGATAACATAATTGAAGAAAAACATTTTCTAAACTCTAAAAGAAAATATTGTTTTATGATTTACTTGAATTACTTTAATAAGAAAATGAGAACAAACTGTTTGATTATATTTGTTCAGAATACTAGATGGTTCATCTTCTGCTAATATTCTTCCACTTCGCATAAGTCCAACCTAAATAAGAATTGTTGTAAAATTTTAATTCAAAATAAAACTTCTTACACGATCAGCTTTTCTTGCTTCTTCAATATAATGAGTTGTTATTATGATTGTTGTTTTACTTGTTTTTGATATATTTATAAGATGACTCCAAATTCTTTAAAATAAAATAAAAATAATAAAACAATTAAATAAATCAATGTAAAAACTTTTCTCGAAGTAAAGGATCAACTCCAACAGTTGGTTCATCAAGAATTAATAATTGAGGTTGCTGAAGAAGAGCACATGCTAATGATACACGACGTTGTTGACCACCACTTTAATAAAGAAAACATAAGAATTTTTTTGTATTGAATAAAATAAATATTCAATTAAACCTTAATTGTGAAACATTTCTTGATTTTGAGGGTAAATCAAGAAATGAAATAAGAAACTCTTCGCGAGCTAAAATATCCTTTCGATTCATATTATGAAGACGACCAAAATGATGAAGCATTTCTGATATTGAAAAATTCTTATAAAGTGCTGTTTCTTGTGGCATATAACCAATTGAGCGACCAGGAACTTCATGTCCATGGCTACCTGGTCGTTTACCTAATACAATTACTTCTCCTCGATTTAATTCTAAACGACCAGCAATGCATCGTAAAAGAGTTGTTTTTCCACATCCTGATGGACCCAATAAACCATATCTAAATTTTAATATTTATCATTATAATATTTTCATAAATAAATAACATACATTATTCCTATTGGAACAGTAATATTTATATCATGTAAAACTGTTATTGATTTCCACCAATGACCATAATTTTTCCATGCATTTTTTACACAAACAGCCAAATCTGTTAATTCACTCTTGAAGAAAATAGAACATAGCATTTAAGATGAATAAAAACATAAAATTTAATTAGCAAAATTCAAATTAATCTCAGAGCAACAGCATAGATAACATATTTCTTTTATCA